ACTCGGGGCAGTGACCCCCAAACTAGATGAGTGGTTGCAACAGATCCCGGGAACAACATCGGACATCTCAGTCCAGAAATGTGCAGTGCTGGGAACAACTGCAACAGCAAGGTAACTGCGCAGAACCCTCAAGCTTCCTGGCCTCTGGTAGAGGACCCGAGCTGAATGAGGGATGGGCACCACCCGAGGGGGGAGAGGAGGAGTTTTCTTTTATATATATATATATATAAAGACAGAGAGAGAGAATATTTTTCTATCTGCAAATTATCATCTCAGTCCAGAAATGTGCAGTGCTGGGAACAACTGCAACAGCAAGGTAACTGCGCAGAACCCTCAAGCTTCCTGGCCTCTGGTAGAGGACCCGAGCTGAATGAGGGATGGGCACCACCCGAGGGGTGAGAGGAGGAGTTTTCTTTTATATATATATATATATAAAGACAGAGAGAGAGAATATTTTTCTATCTGCAAATTATTAATAGTTTGACAAAAAAAAAAAAAAAAAGGAAAAGAAGAAATTGAGAATTACAACACGGACCAAACCTGAATGGCACAAGGCCAAACAGCGACCCCCATCCAATTTAAAACTATATGCGGCGATCGGAGGCCTCACACGCTCTGATCGGAAGCTAATTGCTCATGCTAATATCAGCCACGATCACATCAATGATCAGCAAGCAGGACACAGCAACTCTCCGCTCCTGTTCAATGTGTAGCCGGGACCTATATTTTAGTTTACTGAAGTAGCAGTCACAAAGTGGGATGATTGTTGGCAATATTCGGCACGTTTTCGCTGAAAAAACTCAAGCAACTTATCAGCGGGATTGGGGTGTAATGTCTTTAAGCGATGCCTTAATTTATTTGGCTTCATGCTGTCCGCTGCCAACATTTTTAGACACAGATAGCACACTGGTCTTTACTTGTCTCCCACCGGAGTCACAGTGAAGCCAAGCGCTACATACGCTTCATCATATTTCCTTCCTTTCTTAGCTTTCGGGAGACTTTCATTTGTCTCTTTATCTCCGTCTCTCTCCGCCTGTCTTCTCATCCCTGTTAAACATTTTTTCATGGTGTCACTTGACGGTCGGCGACACTGAGTGTCTATACTTCATACTCTTTCTCTGTGCTGTGTCCAAAGCGCGCATGGTCACTGCAAACAAAACACAGAGTGAATGCTCCCTGTGCACACCCTGCCAAAGAGAGTGCCACTGCCCCCTAATGTAGTGGAGGTGCAATTGCACTTTATTCGAGGACAAGGGAGAAAAAATAAAAATAAATAAATAAATAAGCATGTTCCCCGAGGTCAAACGCACCCCCTCGACGGAGCCCTGCACTCCTCAGGGTGGGTGCGCCCCACTATTTGAGAAGCACTGCCTTAAGGGCAACACATGTACATTGAAAATACCTTCAGTCATAACTTGCTCATTTCTCAACCAATTCTCAAGACGCTTACTTTGTTGTCAACGCCCAAGTGTGTGCTATCAATACAAGTGTGTGCTTTCGTGTCAACTTTCACGACGATGTCTTTCAGGAGGTTTTGTTTTGGCATATGTAACCAGGTGAATAATTCTATGACTGTTGTAGTGAATCCTGTCTCGTTGGAGCACTGTCACGTTAAAAGGAGCGTTGTATCATATCGTGGGAAATCTCGTGAGATGTGGACCACGAAGTGAAGTGAGACGAACGCTGAGCTATGCTTATTCAGACCTGATGTATCTGCAATCGGCATTGTAGCCCAGCCGATATTAAGAGTAAAATATCGTCATTTGGGAGTTTGAACGGTGACGCATGGTGGGTCGTGTGAACAGCTGTGAAGATGGGGAGATTACCGTATTGGCCCGAATATAAGACAGCCCTGATTATAAGACGACCTCCTCTTTTTTAAGGCTCAAGTTTGAAAAAAGACTTTTTGAACACTAAATTAATGTTTATACAGAAAATAATTACAGTGCATCTGAAACAAATGATTATAACAATATATTTGAGAGAAAAAGCATGTTATTTTGCCTCATTCAAATCTAAAGTGCAATCACATTCATAAATGAATGGCTTCTGGTTTTTGAAATGTAAATTACATCATAACTTCTCCTCACCTGCCGGTTAACCTGGCCGATCTTCGACCCACTTTTCTTCAGATTGTCACTACGTTTCTCCATTTTCTGTTATCTCTTCTATTATTTTCTTCTCTTTTCCTTCTTACCGCTATTTTTTATTTTTCTTCTTCGTAAAAAAAAAAACAGTCTTATATTCGGGCCAATACGGTAGTTGTTTTCCGCGTGTTTCGGGCACATACAACATGCCGAAAAGTGCTCACAAGCCACGACTGTTGTCTATTTTTGTCTACTTTTCTATTTGTTAGTCCCATTAGACATATCTCAGTCTTTTATTTTATGAATGCTGCACATTTTCTCTGTTGAGTCGGGAATAAAGCCTTCATAAAGCGTATTTTGTGTTCGGTCAAGTCTGTCATAGACCCAGCCACACAGCTTTCAGATTGCATTCCAGTGTGCCCTCTCGTGGCCGGCTGTTTTCACTGTGACACATGATAGCGTCCCACTGTTACCTTTTCTAGTCGAGCGCTCCCTGCCGGCCGTTGGAAAAGTTGAAAGCATGTGACAAAAGTCGCGGTTTATAGTCCGGAAATTACAGTCATTGTTTTTTGTGGCAACCATCAACATGGAATGCGGCATTGCCCATTCGAGCTTTAACGTTGCCGGACACACGGGTGTCATATCTATCTATTGTTCATATCTATGATGACCATAAAATATGGAGAGAAATGTGTGTCTTTACTTGCACTTAAACTAAAAAAGGATTTTTAAAAAGTTTGCAAACAAAAAACAATAAAGGATTTGTAAAAAAAAAAAAAAAAAAAAAAAGATTTGCAAACAAGACCAATATTTTGAAAACGTAAAAAAGCGCTGCTTTTGTTTTCAAATTAAAAAAAAAACAAACAAAAGAAAAAAAAATCACATGAAGCTATAACATTTGTTTGCATATTCTGAATTTTTGGTTGCAAGTTTTTAAATTTTGTTTTTAAGTTTTATTAACTACAGACTTTAGGGTGCAAATTTACTTCAGCCTTGTGGTTTAGGTCCTCCGCTGAACCGATGGGAAAAGGCTTTTCATTTTTCAGCTTGGAATCATGCTGTGACAACTTTCATTGGTTAGCTTATGGATGTCAGCTACAGTCAACACTGGAGTAATTGCTGTGTTCTTAACTTCTCTGTCTTGGTTATATCTTGTATCTATCTAAAGCAGGGGTGGCCAACCCGCGGCTCGCGAGCCGCATGCGGCTCTTTGGCTGGTTCAGTGCGGCTCCCGGGCTTTCACATGACAAGCATCGAAAATGCCCCGGCGGTGGCGCTGACATTCAAACAACGGCGCTAAGTAAACAGAACTTACGATGCAGCCTATCATCAATCCCGTTACTTGATTGACATACAGGGCAACCAGTCAGACGACAACTGAATCACCGTTAATGCGCAAACAACGGCGCTAAGCGCTAAGCTAGTTTTTTATTACCTTTGTATCTTTAGCTTTCATTCATTTTCAGCCCGTTCCGACTGTTGCTCATTGTGGTATGCGTGCATATGTGCGCGAGTGCATGGTTGGGCACCCGCGTGCATGTGTGTGTATATGCTTGCACGTGCGCGATTGGGTCGATCGTGGGAGGTTGGTCGCTTCAAAAGTTGATCTTCAAAAAAGTTTGCCCTGTGTGGCAAGCTGACCCGAGTAGTAAGTAACCACTGCAATTCGCATGCAGACAGTGCCTGCTTCGAGTGGCAACAATGGAATGCACGCCAGATTTGAAGAGTATTGTTCAACAGAAGGAATGCCAGAAGTCCCTGCACTAAGGCGCTAAGCAACATGCATAGTAAGAGAAAAACATTCTTATATTTTTGTTTGTGGTGAGACACTGCACACAATATTCATTGTTGAAAATGACTGGCCTGTGGTCTTCGTACTGTCGGAGTCAATTTCTGTCATGATCATGTTGGTGTGTGACATTTACAATCAATGTGGCTGAGCAGATGTGTGTGTGTGTGTGTGTGTGTGTGTGTGTGTGTGTGTGTGTGTGTGTGTGTGTGTGTGTGTGTGTGTGTGTGCGTGTGCGAGGAAGGGATGTGGTGATGCTTATGTGTGCCCATGTGTATGATGTGGAGAGAAGTTTTTCTTTCCTTTAAATCTACATGGAGTCGTGTGTGTCATATGTAACAGATAATCAGCTGCAGTTTAAGTTGAATGACATTTTTGGAAGTAGTCCATGCAGTCTTACCCTACAAGCAATCTCCCCTCTGTTTGCTATTAGAATCTTGTCAAATGTCTGTGGAAGGAAATGAAAACAATTATCTATATCTATATCTTTTTTTCAGTGAGAAAACTAAGACAACGTACAACACATAAAACAGGTATTCAATGATGAGTGGGGGTGGGGGGCAAAAATAAAGACACAACGTACTGTATTACAGCCTGGCAACATGGCCTTAAACTGAAATCAAAGATTTTCTTCACAAAAAATATAGAAAGCAAATGACAATGACGTTTTGCCTCCCCGCCTCTTCTAGAATTTGTCAAATGTCTTTATTTATCCTGATACCAAACAAACAAAACAATACATTCACTTCTATACCCACAAACCACAATAAAAATCCAAGATAGGTGCCAGGCCATTTTTCGGGCAAAAACTATAAATGCTTCCTAAGATTTATGAGATATTTTCAATTATACAAAGCAGTAATTTTAACGAATATTCTTCAGTGGCAAGGATTAAACCACAAATGAACTTTTTAAGTGTCCAGAATTAGGGTACAACGCTATATGACAATAGATCCTGAGAAATTACTACATAGTCAAAAGCAGACAAGAGTTGAAGATTTTTTTATATATATAAATAAATTACCTTTTCATTCAGATTGGGGGCGGTGGAATACTGAGCCTTGCTGTTAATTGCACACCATCCAGACTGGAAGGGGGCATGCTGCAAAACACCACACCTCTTTGTCATTTCAAGAATTATAGACATTTATCAAACACTCCCCCTTTTATTCATGTGTGACTTTCAAAACAGCCATTATTTAGTATTTTGCAGTAGAGCTCTACTGCACCATGCAACTATATTATGATTATTGTTGTGACGATTGTTCTTTCTGTAATAACAAAAAAGTGTGCAATTAAAAGTGTCAATTAAAATCGAGCATTATAATCGGGAGCACGCTCAATGACGTTATTTGCTCAGGTACATTTGGTGACACGCTTCATCACCACGAACATCAAGTTAGAAGTCGACAAAAGAAGAGAATATTTGTTCGAGGTCTACCACGAAGGACGTTTGCACTGTTTTAATGTTTTCCGGTTAGCTACAAGGTGATGACTTGTCATCTCAAACCTGCACGACTCTTCTCACCTTTAATAAAACAAACAGCAATCTGGTTGGTGGTGGCAAGATACTGCGTGTCGCCATGTTGACTCCAAATATAAAAATATCTTGTTAGCTTTTTTTATGTTTTGAATATTATCTTCTTCTTCTTCTTCTTCTTCTTCTTCTTCTTCTTCTTCTTCTTCTTCTTCTTCTTCTTCTTCTTCTTCGGTCGAATCCCCAAACCCACGCGCCTCTCAGTTGCGCATTTCCGCCGAGGCTGCGAGTGTACATGGGGTGTCAAAAGTACCCCGCCCCCTCGCACATTTTGCGACCTTGTTCTACACTTCGATTGAGCACGCAACAACAATCCCTCAGACAAAGTTCATGACCCACAATTCATTGCAGATTTGACCAAAATACCAGGAAACAGGTGATTTTCGGTGGAATTCCAGTGCCGAAAAGATACAACAAAAATATCATTTTTATATGTGTCATTTCAATCGATGGCCCCGTCCAATTTTCCCACATTTCAAGTTATGACATTCATACCCATAGTAGAAGAGGACACATATTTTCATTCGGAGGTTGGACACTGTATGTGACGTCATCAAGTAGCGTCATCAACCGTACACTGGGAAAAACACTAGACTCTGCCATACAAATGTCTTTTGAGTCAAAAGTTATTTGTCAAAAGTTTTGACAAATAACGTAAGAGAAATTTCTTTCAAAATTATACACATGTACTATCCTAACAAATATTATCTTCTTAAATTTAGTATACTTGTGTTGATTGTTGTGTGGAATGTCCCCTGGAACGTTGTGAACCACATGTTCTGGCAATGTTGTATGCTGCACTAACAAGTTGTGGAAAGATGTATCCGATATATTATTAGTTATGTTAACTCTGACTTTACTCTTTACTACATGTACTGTTTGGTTTCTTCAACAAAGATGGTTAAACAAATTAAACCAGGGGTGTCAAACTCATTTCACATGGTGGGCCACATACGACCTCGGTAGATGTCAAGTGGGCCGGACCATTAAAATGATACCATACTTTGCTATAAATAACCAAAACAATATGTCTTTCCTTTGTTTTGGTATAAAGAAGCACAAGAACATTAGGAAAATGCTGAAATTTAATGAACATATCTTTTACAAAACATTTCATGAAGCACCTAACATTTCCTTTGACAAATGTGCAATTTACTTTTATCATTCACATATATGCATTGCAACTGATCCCACTGATTGTACAAACTTTAACAAGTAATTGTTATTGAAAAATGTAGTCATGCACTTTAAGATTAAACAAGATTTATAAAGAAAGGAAATTTTAAACCATTTACACGTGCATATAAAATCTAAATGTAATCCCTGCCAACACCTTACAAACTAAGGAGAGTGCTATTAAATGTGTAAATGTGAGAGTGCTATTGATAGCGTCTGCTGTCATGGGTCTGTCTCAGTGACGGACTGAGGCTGCTGTTGTCTTCTTCTCTGATCAAAACAGTGTCCCCTTGCGGATACTCAATGAATTGCACCTTATTAAAAATATTAATTCTGTGTCTTTAATGTATTTTTTTCACTTTTAAATTATCCTGCGGGCCTGATTCAACCTCCTTTTGGGCCGGTTCCGGCCCGCGGGCCGTATTTTTGACACCACTGATTTAAACAATTCTTTATTATTAATTGATTAGTTATTGGAGCAAAATTCCATACCACAAATCCAAGTGTAGTCACTCAAAGCCTCTCTTCTTAATTTTTTGAGAGGAGACGAACGAGTCCATGTATCCTATGTTAGATTCTTAAAACAATAAACCAGTTAAGAGTTTTTTGTTCTTTATGTTTGTATGTAACTTTACGTTCTTTATTTAGAATTGTTCTTCAAAATTCCCCTGGCTCTTCTTTTGTCTCTCTCTGATACTGCATATGTGTTAATAACTTCCTTGGTTTGTTCTCTATGCTTTTGTAATCTGACATGTTCAATCAAGATTATATAATGGAAAAAAAGTGGAGTGTGGGTATGAGGATTGTGCCTTCTTTTTTTCTTCAATTTCTATTCCGAACATGATTACAGTAATCGGAAACGTAGTCGTCCGAAAAGGCTCGAACTGTGAAAAAAGTAGCTTTAGCGAAAATGCTGTAGAAATACAACTGGTCACAGTTTGAGGAAAAATATAATTCACAATTAGTCATAATATTAGTCAAAGTAATAAGTCGGATCAGGAAATTTGAAAGAAATATTAGAAATTAAAAATATATATATTGCAAAAGCCACTTCAAATATTTTTTCACCTCATATTTAGGCTTTTGAAATGAGCAAGCATATAATATAGCTATTGTGGCCAACAAGGGCAAGAAAATACAATATGCAACAATGGAAATATTTACGAGGAAAGGACGCCTTTTTCATCACTAAAGAAACATGGATCCAATAAATTGTGGGAAAAGATGAAAATGTGAAATGCAAAATATGTAATGAATGCAATCAAGTGGAATTGATTCAAATGGTGACTGAAATATAAAAATATGAGAGAAGCAAAATCAAGTGAGTGATCACCAAAATGTTCATTCTGTGTCCTAAATATTAGCATATTTGATCATTAATCACTCAGAAATTAATGGGATTACGTTTGGAGATTATGAATTTTGAATAAATCAATTTGTGTATGACATGGTTTTATTTTTAAAAGACAAATCAACAAAGTATAGTCTTTGTGTAGTCATTTAAGCTTACTTTTGTCGTGTGAATTGGACTCTCGCCATTTCGTTTGGTATTGGCGGTTGAACTATTTCCTTGCCTTTTGCAAGCACTTTTTTGTTAATGTGTTGTTTCCTCTTGGTTATTATTGACCAGCAATTTCTGTTCATCCTTTGTCGGTGCGCTTTTGTTTTTGTCAATATATTTTTTTTTTACCTCAACTCGACTCAACTCAACTGTATTCATAGAGCACTTTCAAACAGCCATCACTGCATACAAAGTGCTGTACATGTAGCAACTAACATATATACAACAATAAAGCAATAAATCAGTAACAAAGATCATAGTAGGCACCAAACAGTAAAACTAAGGTCAAATCTGAGTCATGCTGAGTCAAAGAATACAAGTGAGTTTTGAGGTGGTTTTTCACGATGGGCTGCGAGGGGGCTTGCCGAATGTTCAGTGGGAGCATATTCCAGAGAGAGGGACCAGCAAAGGAAAAGGCTTGATCCCCTCTGAGCCTCTGTTTGGTTCTTGGTACTTCTAACAATGTCCGCAGATCTGATGCGCCGGGCAGGTATGTAGGGGCGGATGAGCTCAGAGAGGTAAGGTGGCGCGAGGTCATTTAAAGATTTGAAAACAAATAATAGGATCTTGAAAATAACTCTAAAATGTATATGGAGCCAGTGAAGGGTTGCCAGAGTAGGAGTTATGTGCTCCCTCTTACGAGTACCAGTCAAGAGGCGAGCAGCAACATTCTGGACCAGCTGGAGACGCTTAGTGGAGGGTTGGCTGACTCCAAAGTAAAGTGCATTACAGTAATCGAGACGGGATGTGATGAAGGCATGAACTACTATCTCAAGGGGCTCATGAGAAAGGGGAGGTTTTACTTTAGCCAGCTGTCTAAGATGAAAGAAGCTGGATTTTTATGGGTTTTTTTTTTTTTTGGTGTGTACGTTTCTGGGATCCTAAACATCATTCGGTTCGTTTCGAACCTTGACAGGACTTTGAATCCATAATAGGAATGTTTAGAATAAATTGGATAAAAGACTTTCTATCGCAAACCGAATACATATAGTTCCATATCCCGAAAAGTATTTTCAAGAAAGTGGGATTTACGGACTTTTTGTTGAAATGTTATTATTAATGAATGTAAAATATTTGAAATGGCCAATCCCTTCAAAAGATAAAGACATGCAATTCAAGATCAGCCATTATTATTATCCAGCTGCTGAAACATTACGAATGAGATTTGGGTTTGAGGTGGACCGCCGTGGTTTCTGTTATACACACAGTGAAACTATTGAGCATCTTTTTTTACTTATGTCCAGTAGTCACACTAATTTTGAAGTCTGATTGGCTAAAAAAAAAAAAATTGAGTCCCCTTTGTTGTCAAATTTGATAAATATAATAATTATACTGGGTAAATATCATATACACTCCAGAAAATTGAGAAATAAGTGCCCGTCACTAACATGTTAAAAAAAAAAAAAGAGCTAAACAAATATTTACAATCTTTAATTCTACTGGAAAAATAAGTGAAAGGTTATATGGTTTGGTGGAAACTGCAACACAAAAAATCTGTTTCCATGTGAAGAGTCCCAATGATTATATTGCCTTCAATTTGTTTTAGTTTTATTTATTTTTGTGTTTATTTTTCTGCACTCAAAAATATTTTTGTAAAAAGCCTTGGAAACGTTATTTTTATGTTTCTGCTGTATCAAAAACAATGTCTTTTGAAATAATGCTACAAAAAAATTCAAGCGAGTGTAATGAATTCAACAGAGGCATTTTATAGCCTATAGGAAGAATTTTAAGAGGACTTTCAAAATAATCCAGTTTTTTTTATTTTTGATGGGGGTTGAGCGGGTTAGAGAAATTAATTTGACAATCTCACAATCAAAAACATGCACGGTTGGTAAATGGGACGCTCTAAATTGTCCCTATAAGCAATGTTCCTTCTAATTTTTCATATGTCTGGGCAAACAGACAACCTCCCTGAGCACATCGAGGACCACTGTGAGTAACATCATAAGTGCTCGCTGTGGCCACACACCAGTATCACACCTGGGCTCATCGAAAGTTTCATGGCTTAAATAAAATATTGTCAATGCGGATTTTAACTTGCTCAGGGTCAGAATTTTTTTTTTTCCCTGTGGGACAGCCGATTCTTTTTCTCCCCGAAATCATGTACCAATCCCTTTTCCCATCTTGAGTCTTCGTATAATTCCAACAGCATTCAAATGACTTTTCTGCTGAATGTGTCACTTGAGGTAGTCCAGCTTCCATTCAGTCCATATTTTCCATCGGAAAATTTGCTTCCAACTTTGCATGTTTTGCAGAGCAAACCTTTCTCACTCGAAAAAGATTTCACCCAGTTTCACCGCTTGCTCTTTTATTTGCACATACTGCGACAGCCATTCCAACTTAAAAGAACCGCAGTTCATTTTTATTTTGGTTTGGGGCGTCGACGTATCACATTCACTGCTCGCTCATTTCGCCGTGATCAAGGGTTAACATTAGCGTCACTTTTCTCCGCCGCATTGTTGTTATGGAGCGGGTATGAGCAGAGCACACGCGCAAGTACAGGACTGTGAGTGCCGCGATTGCGCTGAGAGTGCGCAACCAGTACGCAGTTGAGAGGGAACATTGCCTACATGTTTGTGTATGTGTGCCCTGCGATTGGGTGGCAACCAGTTCAGAGTGTACGAAGCACACACTGCCGGAAGACTGGGCTTGGTCCCGGCACACCCACGATTAAGCGCGGTTCAATTAAATCTAATATTTATTTATTTATTTATTGAGTCGTCCGCCCATCCAATTTCTGAAATGAAGCAGTAAGAATCGCACACCAATGGGTGGCGGTAGTGCACTTACAAAGAAGAGAAAGAATATGACAACGAAGAAGACAACAACGAAGAAGAAGAAGACGACAAGCAATACCAAATGAAACTCTATTTGCCGAGTAAAAAGCGAGTCAAAAGTATTTATTACCTGTTTGACGTTTAAAAAAGGATTTGCCTCAATATCGCTCAGAAGTTGCGCTGTTTAGCAATTAAATGGCGGCACAGGGTGGAATTTTGTTTCAGGAAAAGGTCAGCCGGATGCTCTGCAAACAGAATGGAAAACCTGTACTCAAACCCAACAAACCTCTTGTCCTGAAAGATTCAGTGACCAGCCGCAAACCCAAAAAAGGAGGTAAACCTTTGCTTGTAATACGGTAACACCGATTTTATATATTACGAACATACAGCCACGATCATAACTACATTTGAATGTTGATTAAAAGATGATTTTTTTTTCGGGAATCCGCCCGGCTTCGGGAGCACGATAATCCAATTAGGGAAATAAAATGTTGCATGAAATATAGTCCATGAGAGAAAGGCGGCGAGAAACTTGTCAATCAACAGGTGAATGCAACTTTAGTCTTTTATTTTGTTGTAACGGAGCTGACCTTGAAACTTATACCTGTAGCTTGAGCTGTACGGGAGTGGGAGTGTCGCAGGACGGATGGGGGTCGTTTTCATTTCACCTGGGCGGGAAGGGACGTGATATATTTTTTTAACTATGGTCTCAGACGGGACGGGACTCGTTTTCTGTGGGAGTGGGATGGGACGGGAGTGAAAACTCACTCCCGTGTTACCCTAATCAAAGTAATGTCATTAATCCCTTCCAGCCTCTCTGAGAAGCAACACAATACACTATACGTCATGCGCGAATTTAGTCTGGAAAATAGAAATCTATTATATTGTACTCGATAGAAATTTTAAATAAAATAATTCAATTGAATATAATGTCTAGTTTGTGTATAATGATTATTTATTTAGGTCTACACACCCTTGCCTTACACATGCCATAACATTTAAACCAAGCCCATATTAGAATTTTTTCCATCTTTAATGTGATCTGATCTGTACAAATATACAACAGCTTTTTTGTACATGTGTATTTTTTACTGTGGTCAACAGTGCTGACAGGCCGCATATTATTAGTTTTATGTCAGAGGCTGTAGGCCGGTGGTTTTTGAAACCCAGACACATTTGGTCCCCGGGCAGACTTTGGACATATTTGTCCTAAAGGGATATTGGCAGGTACCTTTTTCTAGTAGAGCCCGTGAAATTGCTGCCTTTAGAACACGTTCTTAAACTGTTTTCTTACACATTGCCAAAGGTTGTCTGTGCTTGTCGGGTTAGTCATAGCTGAAAATCACTTCCGTCGGCGCGTATGCCATCAGTGTTTCAAAGTTTCCGACAGGCGTCAGTCTGTCAGTAAAATTGGTGTCCGTCAGAGACTGACTGATTCACCTTCCATCGGAACACAGCTCGTATTGTGAACAGTACTGTATGCAACAGTGTACTTTTTCCTCCCCAAATGCATAATGTTCTCATACCAATGTTGATTGCAACAGAAGAATACAAGTTTGCAGGTCACAAAGGCGTCTTTGGTCAATTAAACAACTTTCAACAATTCTGTCACAGTTGGACACTTTACTTGATATTGGATGTTAACTGTACGTTGAAAAGTTTCCCATAAGACTAGATAGGAATGTTGTGTCGATTGACGCGCTGAAAAAAAAATGTGTGTGTGTGTGTGTGTGTGTGTGTGTGTGTGTGTGTGTGTGTGTGTGTGTGTGTGTGTATATATATATATATATATATATTTTTTTTTTACAGAGGCCACCTGCATCACAGAGTTGTCAGTCATGATGGCCTGTTGGAAACAGAACAACTTTGTGGAGAGCCTGTGCTCCAAAGAGATGGATGATTTCTACTCCTGTGTTGGAAAGGCTCAGGTACGTTTACATGTATAAGGCAGTTGCAACGCTGAACAGTGGAACCCTCCACCAAGTACAAGTACTGTATCGTGAATTTTAGAGTACAAAAATGACACAAAACCATTTTTTTTTTTCGCAAGCTTCCCCTATCATTCCCGTTCACTGATATGCGGTGCAACACGCTCTGCACATTTTGGTGACGGAGACTGTATGCTTACCTATTTCATCCAGAGACACGTGGAATTATAGGTACTGGTACAGTGAAACTCCTCTACAAGGAAATCATGTTTGCAGCAAGAAATTTTTCACAACAGGGGGTTTTTCACTGTAGCAAATTTGATCTCAGATGTAAGCACACAAACACATACACAAACGTATGTGTACATGCACACACAAACGTATGTGTACTCTATTTTTATTCCAATAGTGCATAAGTATGAGCACACACTTATTTGACACTTCATATTGTCAGTGTAGAAAGAAAAAAAGGGCAAGAAATTGCGAAATTTACGATCAGCATTCACTTTCACTTACATCAATTTCTTGGATATTGTCTTTTATTTTGCTTGCTCCGTCTTTCATTTTGATCACTTTTACCCTCTCTTCCAGCATATCAGAGCTCTTCCTGCCTTAATCAGAGATGAAAGTCCTCCGGATTTTCCCGGAATTCCGGGTTTTTCAAATTTTTATGAAAATTTCTCCGGAGAATTGAGGAAAATTTGCATAATCCGGATATTAGTTGACAACATTGAACGAAGACGCGTTTGAGTTCGTTGTATTGCTTTCACGAGCGTAGCCATATTGAGGCACTAACACTAGTTCGTGGAGCTTTGCTTCGGTGGGCAGCGCTTTAGTTGGAACTTTGTTACAGCGCGACACGCTGTACCTCTTTTGGAGGTGGATTTTTTTGTGCGCTCATGGACTTAGTGGACGTGAAAAATCAACATTTAATAGACGCTGCCACTTTTTGTTCTTACGCGTGCGCACTCGGCCCGGCAGACGTCATCCGCCTCTTCACCATACTCCACCTCACAGACGCTTTCCACCACCGCCTGCTTGCTGAATTCCCTGCACTCACACAGCCCACCTTCACTTCAGCGACTGCCAGGCATGGGGTGGAACACCACATCGTCACCGGTCTACGCCCGCGCCCGACGCCTGGACCCAGCCAAGCTGGCTGTTGCCAAGACGGAGTTCGACAACATGGAGCGCCTGCGGATTGTCTGCCGCTCTAACAGCCCTTGGGCCTCTCCTCTCCACATGGTCCCTAAACCCGATGGCGGCTGCCGCCCTTGTGGAGATTATCGATGTTCTCAACAACGGTACAACGCCCGACCACTACCCTGTGCCGCACATCCAGGATTTCTCAACTCACCTAGCCGGCAAGGTGATTTTCTCCAAGGTTGACCTCGTTAGGGGCTACCATCAGGTGCCCGTTCACCCCCCTGACTTGCCTAAAACAGCAGTGATCACACCAAGGCCCCTTTGGAACACTTTCACGTGCCTGAGCGACGTTTCGACCATGTTAACGTCGACCTGGGTGGCCCCCTGCCTTCTTCTCGGAGGGTACACTCACCTGTTAACTATGGTGGACCGCGCCAAACGTTGGGCTGAGGTCGCCCCGCTGTCGTCCATTAGATCAGTCGACGTGGCGCGGGCCTTTATTGGCACCTGGATATCCCTTTTTGGCGCCCCTGCGGATATTTCCTTGGATCGCGGCGTGCAGTTCACTTCTGAGCTTTGGACTGCAGTGGCAGACACCTTCGGGATGAAGTTGCACCGCACATCAGCGTATCACCCACAGTGCAACGGCCTTTGCGAACGTTTCCAACGGTCGATGAAGGCTGCTCTTCGTGCCACCTTGAAGAACGGCAACTGGATTGACAGACTCCCGTGGGTCATGCTGGGCATCAGGACGGTGCCTAAGGAGGATCTCCACTCTTCCTCTGCGGAGCTGGTTTATGGCCAGCCTCTGCGGGTGCCTGGGGATTTTGTGCCGACTGCTTCTACTCCTTGGTCGGCCACGGCGCCACACTCCACCCTCTTGGACAATACCAGACTTTTTGCCCCTCTGCCCACTTCCTGCCATGGTGTTCCAGGTTCTCACGTGCCCAAGGACCTCCTGTCAGCTAGTTATGTGTTCATTCGCGCTGATGGGCACAGAGGGCCCTTGCGCCCTCCTTATGAGGGCCCCTTCCTCCATTGACATGGGGGGGTAAACCCGAGCGGGTCTCGGTGGACCGCCTTAAACCAGCTCACAGTATCTTCTACTTCTTCTCCTTTCGGCACATCCCTATTCAGGGGTCGCCACAGCGAGTCAGTAATTTCCATCCGCCCCTGTAAACCGTCCTACCAACTCGCATGGTCGTCTTGGCAAAAGTTTTACGCCGGATGCCATTCCTGACGCAACCCTCTCCATTTCTCCGGGCTTGGGACCGGCACTGGGGAACAGTGCACCCCCAGGGGAGGGCACTGCCCCCCAGCGGCTGGGTTAAAATTAGAGATCACACATTTTGACATTTTCATTATTTTACACTCTAGTTCAGCGGTCGGCAACCTTTGACACCGAAAGAGCCATTTGAACCCGGTTTCCACGGAAAAGAAAACACTGGGAGCCGCACATCTAAAATGAAAAAAAAAAAACTTCTACTACTTTACCGCAGCATGTTTCTTATGAAATCCACGTGCTACAGAGAAAATTACATTTTATTCATTTCATGAACACATTTTGAACATTTTGAATTCTTGAAAAATACTAACAATGAATGTCTCTTTCAAATAAATTAAAAAGCTGAATTTAAATTGTCCATGTAGCAAACGAAAGCAGAAAAATGCCATGAGGCGTCATCCTTATATCCATTTATCTTATCTAAAATGAAGATAACACTGTATATATTGCTTTTTCTTACCTTTACACTTTGTATAAACAACTATAGTGTGGTTATGTCTTATGAAGTGCTACGGAGAAAATTAAATTTTACCGATGTAATGAACACATTTTGAATTCTTGAAAAAATAACTAATGTCTGAATGCGGCCACAAAGCTTGCATATGTAGTTGAATTTGCAGACTTCACCCACTTCTTGAATTGATTTTTCGTCCGGTCAGCCTTCTGCATCAGTTCCGAAACAGCTTTTTTCCTCTCTTCTCCCTCTGGATATTTTTCAGCAAAGGCTCTGTGTGTATTGTTAAAATGTCTTGCGACATTTGACCGTTTATTGTTAGCCAGTTTTTCTCCACAAATTAGGCATACTGGTAGGCCACTCTCGCCCGAGGTAAATGCAAATGAATCTGCCCAGGCATCATTGAATGTTCTATTTTCTTGAGATATTTTTCTTTTCTTACATTTCTCCATTGGCTTTGCCGGGGTTGAAAGTCGCTCAAAATAGACGCCGTTTCAGCGGGTATACCAGCTTCCGCAGTGTGACGTCTATTTTGAGGGACGAAAAAATAATATCAAATAATTTAATTAATATTTTAATATTTCAAGATCACAATAATCTTCAAATTTAGAACTAAAATAATATAAAAACTAACACAAATAAAACACACTTCAATTAAATACAAAAAAAAAAAATTTAGTAATTTATTTTCCCAAGCCAATCAGAGCCGCATTATAAGGATGAAAGAGCCGCATGAGGCTCCGGAGCCGCGGGATGCCGACTGATGAGCTATGAGTATGTTACGTTCAGGAAACTCGCAGCTGTGACCGAAATAAACATCGTTCACTATGTAAACCAGTGTGGTGGTTGCTGTTGCCGTTTCCGAACGAAGCAGTAGAGGTCGCTGTTGGATTACACTTCGTTGTAGTGAATGTTTTCGCGAGGCAGGAGCAGAGAAAATAATTTCGTATAACGCAACAGGGTTTTTTTTCATCGTATGGGGGGCAGGAGAATGGGAATGGTGTTAATGCATGAAGATTTTTTTTCACATTAGGGGGTATTTTCGCCCATGTAGGTTTCGTTCTAGAGGAGTTTCACTGTAGGTAGGTGTCCTGAAACAGAATCAGAACCAACGTCCCGGCCACGATCTGGCTGTCGTTTTTTTCAGGGTGATTGGTGCTATCCGTGCCCAGTGGTGACTTTGTCCCATGACGGGAACAGATGAATTGTTTTTAATTTGAAAATGAACAGCGGCAGACCGAATGGTTGTGAACCAGGGTTCAACTAGATTATCGTCAAACTATCATTTTGGTTAGGTTGCGATAAAAATGAGTGTTTCACAGGAATACGGTACTGCAAAGAAATTCGATGTGAATTGTCCCACATATAATTAAATTCAGAGCTGAACAAATTTATGAAACTATCGCCCAAAGTTTGATGCACAGTTCATTCTACTTGTTAGGGTTGTGAACTTCTGAGATCACTGACAATTTCACAAAATTATACAAAACAAATGTGGCATAAACATATGAGGAAGTCATAAATCACACACACACGTTAATATGATTTAAAAGACATTGGCAACAAATCCTTTTTTTCCCCTTTGCAGGCTTCAATGAAGAATACATTAGGAGAAACTACTCTTCAAGGAGGACGTCTGACACCAAAACAAACCAACACCCTGTTGAAGAGACATCCCACTCTACGATTTGAGATCTAGGAACCTGATTGATGTTGAAAATAAGCCACACTGTTGAGCCTTGTAACAGTGTTTCATCATTTTAAAGTGTCAGTGATATTTATCTTGTGGACCGGAAATGTGTATGAAAGTTTGAAAGAAGCTACTCGACTGAGTCCCGTATAAACTTACATAATATTTGGGCATTGTCCATTAATAACAATGAAAATGTTATTTCAATATTTTGTGTTGCTTGGCAATATTTTTTCTTTATCTTTCACTTTTCTTCCTTACGCACCACAATATGAATTTGCTTCCATAAAATGTTATTCTGAAACAATCCAACCACTTTCTCTACTGCTCATTCTGTTGAGCTGGATCATATCCCATCTTTGGTTAAAAGGCGGACAACACCAGGGATGATTTGCCGGTCAGTTGCAGGACACATCGTTCTTAGTTCATAGTCACTCGGTGGGAGTGCAACCGTTGCCTACGCTGAAGTCGGGCAAGTCATTTTGTCAGAAGGTTGTGAATGAGCGATTGAAAATATAATGGCAGAGCCTTATAGAAATAAAATCTTGCATATTGATATTTATCTGTTTACCAACACCACTTATTGTATAGGGCTGACATCCGGCCCTATTTTATGTTGTCGGATACTCGTGAAGGGTGGTCATTGATATTTGTGTGTGTGTGTGTGTGCGCGCGCCAAGGAGGACTTTTTTTTGCTTGGCGAGTCAGGCTCATTCAAAGTACAGTACTGGTTGCCAAAGTACTGGTAGGAAGAGGGAGAGGCATTCCATGCTTACAGATGTCAAAATATATACAGTACTCCTCTGTTCATGAAAGAAAAACCCAGTGGTCACCAAAATAATGTAAATAATGTATGAAAAACAATGAGTTAAGAGGGTAACCTGTGAAAAGCGCCATTTATGGTGATGAGCAGCTAAACCCACACCACACTAAAATTGATTTCACCACACTTTAAAAAGGATTTATTAACCAATCACACAACATACTGTGCATTGATTCTCATTCAGTCTGGTAATTTAGCAGTCTTTCATTTAAAATTGGGGCAGTTTCATAAACCTTTCTACACTACCTTGTATTGTAGTCTCAATATGAGAATGGGCAAAGCCGTAATTTGGCCGACAGCAAATTAAACAAATCTGTTCTGTTAAAGCACAATAATGTGTTGTATTTTGCATTAACATTATTACAATAAAAGACCGCTTTCCATTCATAAAGTGATCTTCTGTCAGCTCACAAAAGAGGGCATCATCTCCGGTTAACGTTTTCTTCCTGCAAAAAATGAAGAGGCAGCTTATTGGTGAGCAAGAGAATAAAATTATTGTACATGGCTGGCTTTTGTTCCTCCATGACCTTTGAGCTGGATTTTTGTTTTTTTAGGTATTAACAGCATTTGAGCTGGTCCAAAAAAGTGTAGCTTGAGCACTGATCATATTGATCGAGTATCAGCTACCTGCATGTTTTTTTTTGTAAAATTCAGATTTTAATTGCAAATCCTCCTTTTCACTTTAAAGGTACTACATGGTCAGAAACTATCGTACCTTGGAGAATCTGTACAGCCTTACTAAGCCGCCGGAGCACTAGTTTCTCAAGGTGAGATATGCTTGTTGGCTCTCCTAGAATCTGCACGAGCAGAATGTGAAGCTGCTTTCTTGTGGGACAATCTTCCAAGTTTTAACTTTTTGGTCCTGTGAGAGTGAATGTATATTTGCACTCAGAAATTAATATTGTATTACTTCTTAAATTGTTTATTTTGGTTTTAATTTTTTTTTCTCTGTGGACCTTTTGCACCCAATGAACTGTTACACTCATTCATTTGAATTAAGCCCATTAACATTCAGCAATACTACCTTAATGACAGTAGCAAGCTCCCGTAGCGTTTGTTCATATCGGTCTTCCAAACTCTTCAGGTTTTCAGGTTTAATAATGTGCTTTCGGATCCCCAAACTCCCCGCTTCAGTCACCATCTGAAGGAAGTTCTGTTCCTGAGGGAACGACAGAAACTTTGATTCAGCCAGTTATTTGGACAACCTGAGGAGACAACTTATTGCAGTGGAGGGGTTTGGAGGACCCAGAGATGCTAAGGAGTCAAGTTTTCTGGAGACCTGGCTGGGCTACCTCGAGCAAAAGTGTCCGGTTCATGATGGTCCATTTTTAACATTCACTTCTTCTCTTCTTGACATGATCCTGTCTTGTTTGCTTTTTGTTTCAGTCTCCAGCGGTGAGTGGGCGTTTCCTCACGAGTCTCACTCGTCTCAAATCTGGCCTTGTTACCTGCCTGCTTTATAAGCCAGGTCAGGCCCAAAACTGACTGTTGGAGTATTAGCCTTGATCACGAATTTGTCGCCAAATGCCAAATTTTCTAGACCAGGGGTGCCCAATACGGTGATCGCGATACAGCACTTTTTGCATATCTTTTTGTTATATATGGAACTCGAGGGCAAAATTCACAAGAGGTGAGAGATCCATGAATCGACCAATACATTTGGTCGAATCCATGCATTTCTGTGACTCTTCCAGTCTCCCCATAGGTAATCACACTTAATGGCTAGATCAATGGTTTCTTAAACTGGGTATGATCAAACCCCAGGGGTTCAGTGAATTGGTCTCAGAGGTTCGACGAAGCCTCTGCCATGGAGGTTAAGACACACCCGACTCAACATGTCAATTAGTTACGACACGCCTGCTTAACCATCACTGGCTGCAGATGATCACATTCCATTACTTGTCCAAATCAGTGCTGCGGGAAATTTAGTTCACTCAGTAGTCAACGTGTGACTGTCGTAATAGTACGTCGTGTAATTAAAAAAACATATACCGGTACTTATGTCTTGAAATTTGATTTACTTTTTTTCCAGTTTTTCATAAATCCGTTTTTTTATGTCTTGAATTTGGAAAAAGTCATGTTTTTGTTTTTCACTAATGAAGGGTTCGGTGACTGCATTTGAACTGGTTGTGTTCAGTACCTCTAACAAGGTTAAGAACCACTGGGCTAGATCCTTCAGAGAACATCCTTTTTGGTGTTCTCTTGGTCTCACGGTAATACGAACAGCATTATGAAGAGGACTGAACAGACCAATTATAAATGAACCAAGAAATTTGTTGATCACTTGATAGATCAAACACCTGGTGTGACTGCTGTCATTCAGCTCCCTGTTAGAGAACAATAAGATGTGCAATCAAAAGTTTAGAAACTGTCAAATCAAGTTCACCTCATGATAAGTGTATTTCAGGTACATTGTGAAATTTCATACTAAAGACAAATATCCCTAACTTTTTGTGAGGGAGACATGTATTAACGTGGATGTGTTCAACCTGTATTCCAAGCAGAAAGGTGAAGGCCAGGCCGGGTTTTCCAGCTCTTGCAGTTCTTCCAATTCTGAGACAAGAAGCGGGGAAATGATGAAACCACAGTTTAAGGATGAAAAAAAACCAAGTCAAGCAATTGAATGCAGGATTACTTTCACAGCTTCATCAGCATATGAGGGCTCACCTGTGAATGTATGTCCTGATGTACTGTGGCGCATCATAGTTCACAACACATTTGACCCCAGCGATGTCAATGCCTCTGGCCGCTGCATCCGTGCTAATCAACCTTCAAAAGCCAATGCAGAGATGAAATGTGTGTGTATATATATATATATATATGTGTGTATGTACACACACGAGCGCAAACACACTTGGCCGATCACGCATGAATTAGTTGACACAAAACGCTATTCAAATACTCGACATTCAATGATTAATCTTCCTTTTGTGTGCACACGTTGCGCCCTTTGTGGCTTTCGTTCTCGACGAAATTTCAAAATCACCGAGATATGGCGAGGCCATGAGAATGCGAGGCGAGGGTATTGCTGTTGTGGCGACGCCACTCAAGTTAAACGAGCCTCAGCAGTCGATAGTCCGCTGCTCTCTGCTGTGCGTGCTTCAGCGCAAACATGTACACAAGCTCGTCTTTTGATTTCAACCAATCAGCGCCGACGCAACGACGTCACACACGACGTCACACATGACAACACACATGACAACAGTTAAGCTAAACTAGCCGAGACGACACTCGAAGTCGGACAGACACGTTTTTCTGCCAATCTGTGTGTTTCCCTTTTTGTCCAAATATATTTTTTACGACAACTGTCTTGTCCACTGTGTCTTTTATACGTTCCCATGGTGTTTAGCAAATGTGTTTATAAAGAAACGAAAATCTCTTTCCTGTTACTCGTGTTAGTGTCTCAACATGGCTACGCTCGTGAAAGCAAAACAACGAACTCAAACGCGTCTTCGTTCAATGATGTCAACTAATATCCGGATTAATTTTTCGGCAAATTTTCCTTAATTCTCCGGAGAGATTTTCATAAAAATTTGAAAAACCCGTAATTCCGGGAAAATCCGGAGGACTTTCATCTCTGCCAATGGAAGATGGACCGTTACAAATGAGACCGTGTATATGTACATCATGTTGGACATTGAGTGCATATCGTAGGTGGATGCTGAGCCCACAGGATTTTTTTTTTTTTTTAATAATCTGGCCCATGGCATTAAATACACAAAGTGACAAAATTGTTGGTACCCCTGTGCTAATATAAACCAAATTCTAATGAAGTTGGGACATCGTTATCTGAGTTCAAAATTGTGTGGCGGCCGTCCCCAGCCAGACCAATTGATATCGCTCGACCAAATGTGAAATATCACGACGGGCTGCACGTCACGTGCGTGTTCACTGTGTTTGTATGCGGGAGGGAGTGACTTCACTTTGATTCAAAGCGGACAAGAGGAGGAGCATTCGTTCACTGTCCAAAAAAGTTTCCACATTGCCAGTCAGTCTAGTGGCCAATGCTGGTTGTGTTGGCAGCTAAATCTTATCTTGGTTGACATTTGAACAGCTGTCTATAATTCAATGTGTTGCATGCTCCTTGTTCCCGTCCCACACCATATGTCGGACCCGTCTTTTTGGGCGGGCCATAGGGGGCCGTGCCCGCCCACCAAGATGCCATTTGAGGCACGGATTTCTCAAAGTAACATTTTTTTTTAAATATTACCGTATTTTCCGCACTTCAAGGCGCATCTAAAAGCATTCCATTTTCTCAAAAGCTGACAGTGCGCCCTACAATCTGATGTGCCTTTTATATGGTACAGTCAAACCTTGGTTTTCGAACGTCTCGGTTCTCGTACAAATTGGTTTTCGAACAAAAATTTCGAGTTTTTTCTGCCTCGGATGACGAACAAATTTCGGTTCTCGAACTAACTGAGCGCACTTGAATGCGTCACTTCACTCCTCTCAGCTTCGCTTCCTGTGTAGCGTCCATTGCGACAGACGTTTTTGTATTGTTCAATAAAGATTTTTTTTTTAAAAAAGCAGACGTGTTTGGTGAGACGCTTCTGTTAGGGGGAGTGAAACCCCCCTCTTTTCAGAAGGGTTTGCCCCAGCAGCACGGGTGAAGTGCGTGAGTTTGTTTACGACCGGCAGGTTTCAATACAACGGCACATAGTCAACACTCTGGTGTCCTGTAGCGTCCGTTGTGAACAGACGAGTTTGTATTGTTCAATAAAGATTTTTTTTTTAAAAAAGCAGACGTGTTTGGTGAGACGCTTCTGTTAGGGGGAGTGAAACCCCCCTCTTTTCAGAAGGGTTTGCCCCAGCAGCACGGGTGAAGTGCGTGAGTTTGTTTACGACCGGCAGGTTTCAATACAACGGCACATAGTCAACACTCTGGTGTCCTGTAGCGTCCGTTGTGAACAGACGAGTTTGTATTGTTCAATAAAGATTTTTTTTTTAAAAAAGCAGACGTGTTTGGTGAGACGCTTCTGTTAGGGGGAGTGAAACCCCCCTCTTTTCAGAATGGTTTGCCCCAGCAGCACTGGTGAAGTGCGTGAGTTTGTTTACGACCGGCAGTTTTCAATACAACGGCACATAATCAACACTCTGGTGTCCTGTAGCGTCCGTTGTGAACAGACGAGTTTGTATTGTTCAATAAAGATTTTTTTTTTAAAAAAGCAGACGTGTTTGGTGAGAACTACGTAATAATGGACTGTTAATTTTGCATCGTGTATCAGCCCCTAATCATGGCACCAAAGAAAGCAAGTGGAAGTGGTAAACCTGGTGAAGAAAAGAGAAAAATAGTGCGCAAAACTATAGAATTTAAGAAAGATTTGATCGTGAAATATGAGTCAGGTGTGCGTGTGTCTGTGTTGGCGAAGGAGTTCGGGATGCCGAAATGCCCCGCCTACTGCCTGATGACAGCTGGGATAGGCTCACGCCCCACGGCAGATCGAGAGAGAGAGAGAGAGAGTGAGAGAGAGAGAGTGAGAGAGAGAGAGAGAGAGAGAGAGAGAGAGAGATGTTCCTTCAATTTTTGTTATAATGTTAATGTTAAAATTGGTGAAAATAAAACATATTACAGTTTGTTTGTACAGTATTTTACATATTACCTGCTCTCCTATTACAGTTGTACAGTTTATGGTGTGAAATTGTAAAAAAAAGTGGTTTAAAAAAGTTGTTTTCTTGAGTTGGAACGGATTAAAAATTATTACATTGGTTCCAATGGGAAACATGGTTTCGGTTTTCGAACAATTCGGTTTTTGAAAAGTCTTCTGGAACGGATTAAGTACGAAAACCGAGGTTTGACTGTATTACAGTTTCTTTATATTCCCCATTTGGGTTGTTTCCCTGTTAGTGTTCCTATACCATCTAGTGGTGATTATTATTATACATAAAGGCTGATGTCTGTGAAGGTTAGTTCAACAAGGGTTGAAATTAATGAAGCATATGGTCCACAAATGGAGATTATGTGCATAGACCCCATTTAAGATGTGGATAATTTCCCCCTCACCCCCACTTTTTAGTATTTTGCTATGGTGGGTGGTCTTATTATTAAAACACACACATTTTATCTATCGATTACAATTTCTTACATTATGTTCTGCTGACTATTTTCTTCAGACGAGCTTTGTTCTGGTCTTTAAAGGGTTAAACATCCCAAGCACCAAAACATCCCGTAACAGGACTGTTGACATACAAACTAAAATTATGTCATGATCTATTAACATGTTGAAGGCGCTAACTTGTCCATATTGAATAGTCCGAATTCAATGTTTTTGTTTTTTACTTATATGCAGATGATAGTTACCCATAGCACAATACTGCTTTTTATTGCTTTGATGTCCATAGAGGGCACCAACCTCAATAAGTAAATAGAAACTATATATGTATGGATAGGTCTGATGCCACTGAACATTTTGAGTGGTCGCAAGAAAAAAAAGGATTTAGAAATGACTTTGATATTACACTTTAAAGCCACCGTTCCATTATGGTGCCTTTGTCTGATGTGTCGTTAAAAAAAAAAACTCAACGCACATGGGTTAAATTAATTGAAAATGGAGTTTAGTGCACAGGTAATTGACATTGTATCAAAATGAAGAAAAACTACCCATTACCTCTGGTCACATCACCACTACATGCCCCCACCATGTTATGGTGCCATGCTTATGTTTACCATTTTATTTTGTGCCTAATTACACTAATAGATGTCCCGATAAATTGCTCTTTCAGGCAATCGGGATTACTAACACATAATTTCAGACAACAATGATTTACATATATTTCATTTTGTGGATAGGCATAGTAGGAATCGAAAGACAGGAAATGTTGAATATGTAGCAAGGGGTCTAGATTGAATGTGGTCACGATGTTTTTAAACTCGCACTGAGTGTGACAAGGATTGTGCATTCTTACAGGTTTATCTTTCCTTGTTCAAATTCTTTCAGCGTCTTCTTTCTTTCTCTGGGAGACAGCCTCGAGGAGAACTCTGCGACTTGAACGCCACCAAAGAGCTGTATCAGCAGGTGAAGTCTGATTCCAACAGATGCAAAGATATTCAGACATTAAATAGCATGGATACTTAACACTGACACTAACACATAAAACAGTGTGTCTCGCTAACCTGTGAGCTGTCATTTTGGAGTTAACAAAACAAAGAATGGGTCTGAGCTTCATGCGCAGGATCAAATTAAGGATGATCAGAGGTTTTTTGCTGAGCGTACAGGGCAGGTAATACTCCTATTTATATACAAAAAAACAAACCATCCAAGCAATTGATTCAGAGACACACAGTTTGACAGTCCATTTGCCTCCATGCACAGAAAACTAACCGTCAGACTTTGGGGGAAGTCAAACTGCTCAGGTTCATGTGAGTCCATAGTTGGCTCGGGAACGTGACAGCAACTTTCAGTCTTGGCAGATCTGAAAAGTCTTGGCTGATGGAGGCCCAGCTGCTGCAATTTCTCTGGATTTTGGGTGAGTGTGGCAGAGAAAAGCAGCTTCTGAAGTGGCATTTGAGGAGGAGACAAGCTATAATGGAGAAAGTGAGTCAACTGTCAAAACCAAACGTCAGCATATGAACTTCATGATATGATCATTATCAAGATATTGTGGGGCAGTGGGCAAAGAGCTCAAATTGCTGTATGAAAACTCATGATGTAAACAAACAAACAAACAAATAAATAAATCAATGCTTACAACCCCCCCCCCAAAGTGGCACCATATTGTGTACCGTAAATTCCGGATTACAAGCCGCTACTTTTTTTCCACATTTCCAACACTGTGGCGTGTGATATGAAGCGGCTTTTTAATTTTTTTTTTTCCATCGCAGGAAAAACATGGACCAATAAAATGAATGAGTCTTTCACTGAGGTCCAATGAGATTGGATGACTAACCACAACTTCCGGAAAAACGCGAAGTGAAAATGTGTCTCGGTGTCGTCGTTCCGTAGCATCGGGTGGGCGTTGCGTGTATTTAAGCTCCCGCGGCATGACGTCTCAATCCGGGTTACGGGTAGTGGAATTTCCGCTTACGTAAGTTCCGGTAACATGTAATATCGTAGTCAAAATGTTAATGCACAGGCTTTTGTTCCGGGTGAAGGATATTCCTTTTCATAGAATTCCGGGGATGGGAATATTTACTGTATCAGTCGATTCATAAACATGAATTGGCATCTGCCCGTAAGGCGTAGAAAAAAAAGTAGTGTGTTTCCGGTAACCCGACCGACCGAGAATTTCTACGTCGAAAAAAAACTTTACGGTCGGCATTTTTTTCAAACAACCCTCTACATTTTTGTGTAGAGGGTTTACATCGGTGCAAACTCTCGCGATATTCACGTTGAGCGCGTGCGTCGTTTGGCCTGTCGTCTGTCAACAACATTGAAACATGGC